AAGTGGTCTTCCTGCCTTGCCTCCCAAAGTGCTGGGATTAGAGGTGTGAGCCATCACTCCCAGCCAGCTTCCAATTTTTTCAGCATGCGTCTCAGCTACAACTAGAGAGAGATGTGACACCACTCAGGTTCACTGGTAATGCCGGCATGCCTACAATGGTTCTAATTTTTAAAATGGAATATTTTTCTTTTGAGAGACTGAAGAACAAGGAAGGTTTTTGCTTCTTCTCTAAACATGTGGCATCATTTGCTTGATGACTTCATTTCTTGACACTTGGGAAAGGGTGACTAAATCCTTCTCTTTACCAAGAATAAATTAATGTGACCATATTTTCCCTGGTTCTGTGTGTTTGCTCCAGACTAAGTAAGATTCAGATGATAAGATGGGGTGGGGCAGTGGGTTCACAAATTATGTATTGGTAACAGAGTAGAAGTGTAATATAACGGCATGGATGATGGCTATCTGCTCCCAAACTCTGTCAGCTGCGTTATCAGAGGGGTCTCATGGGGGTTCCTCAGCTTACAAGCATCTTTGAGGAATTCTCTGTAATTCACTGTAAGGGGTATGATGTTTTTGGCATGCTGAATCTTGGCCAGACACGTGGTGGAAAAAGATTTATGGATGGCAAAAGGAAAGTGGTGTATAGAAAATCGATGTGAGGCAAGAAACAGCTGGCTTGGTCAGAGCTTGGTGTTTGCCTTATTTGAACATGGTTTGAATGGTTGGCTACATTTGATTGGCCAAGACTCAGTGATGCCAAACCCTTTAATTTATCCCATGTGTCTGGAATTAGCTAAGACATTTCTATGAGTATTTACAACCAGCATAGTACCAGGAAATGTGTTACTGATTGTCAGACAGACATGGTAAATACTGGAGTCTCTAATTGCAGAGATCACTAAAAAATTTATGATAATAAATGATAATAAATTGGTTCCAATGATTACTTCTATAAAAGTCTAAACTGATTCCTGTTCTTGTACTTACACTCTAACTTTGTAAAGCTTTGACCTTTTCCTCTCTCTCTTTTTTAAAAAAGATTCTATGTCTGTCTAGCTTTTGCTCCATGCGTTGTGGTTGTTTTTATCCTGTCTCAACTCTACTTTGCCATGCTGGGGCCCAGAGTTGCAAACTGTATCCCACAGGCCCCTTGACCAGGTCCTGTCAGTCAAGGCACTGCAGGAGTTGGATGAAGTGGCAAGAGGACAGAAGCCATTGGCTTTCTTCTGTCATTTCTCTTTCTTCCATTTCGGGGCAGGTGGCTATGTTCTTGCACTATCCCAGCTCTTCAGGTAGCATCCTCCGCCACTGTTCCTTCTCCAAGGTGGCAGCACATCTATGTTCTAGTAACATGGTAGAGCTGATGGTGGGAGCTGCCTCCTGCAGTTATTTATCTGGGTTTCTGCCACTTCCCCCTTCAGTCTTCCAGCCTCCCCATACTCTGTAACCAATTCCCTTTGAAATTCCAAGTGTATTTTCCTTTTCCTGAAAGGACTTTGACTAACAAAGAACTCCGTGATGGCTTTTTGCCAAAAACATCATGCCCCTTACAAAGACACTTATGGGGAAGCTGCAAGGTGTTAGTATCTCAAATCACTTGATTATCTTATTTCAACAAATGTTTTATAGGGCTTACTATATGCCAGGACGTATAAGTGCTTTCTAACTGTTATTTCATTTAATCTTTATAAAAACTCATTGGGGGCAGCAGTACAGTAATTCACATTTTACAAATGAGAAAAATGAAGGACAAGTAATTTGCCCAATGTTAGATCACTAGAAGTGTCAGTTTGAGAGCTAATGTCCTAAGCGATGATTTAGAAAGATGTATGAGCATCTTTACCCACCACCATCTGAGGTGGTGGGGGTAGGAAGGTTTGTTTGCAAGGTGGAAGTAATCAGATTAGGAAACATAAAAGAACAAAGAGTCTGGAGAGGTCATCTTCAATGTTTAGCATCAACAAGTACATCATCCTACGAGGGGCTGTGCAGCCCTATATTGGTGTCTAGGTATGGCAGGTAGCTGTGAAGCTCATAGCAGATAACACAGTTGTGCTGTCTTTCCCTTGAGATTAGGGTTAGGGGATTGGAATCACTAGGATGTTTTTGCAACTAACTTTGTTCTCCCTTCATTTTGTAAATATTAAAGGTTCCTGCTGACCTTGCTATATCAACAGAAGATCGGATTTTCTAAACCCAGCAGGAACATAACTAATAAAAGTCTTTTCTCAATGATTACGTAGTGATTTGGAGTCCACCTGGAGACTTGGAAATAACAACTTGAGGAAATAGCTATTTTAGGTTTCTTATAAATTTAAATTAATGTTAAATTTTTCAAGTGTTTGAACATTCTGTCTCTAACATCTTTGCAGATGAAAATCCTCACTCAAAATCCCATGGAAAAAGAAAAGGCAAAAAGATGAGGAAGAAGAGAACTTGTATGGATGCCATCAAATTTCCGTTAAAAGCATCATCTAAAACTTATCACCTGAAACTTTATATTCTATATCTGTGCTGTTGCTGGAAGTCATGGCTCCACTTTTTAGCCATGTGGCCTTGATGTAAGATGGAGACCATAAATATAATAACCTTACAGAGTTGCTGTGAGAATTAAATCACTTGATATGTATAAAGGGCTTAACATAGCCCTTAATAAGGTCCAATAACTAGCTGCTATTGTATTAGATTATTATTGGTGATTTGAAGTAAGACTAATAATGATAGAAAAGTTGCCCTTGCAATGCTGTTTTTAATAAGCAAAATTCACCAGTAACTGGTAGAACAAATACTACAGGTGGACATTAACAATACTATAGGTGGACATTAACATAAGACCATTGGCCAGGTGCTGTGGCTCACACCTGTAAGCCCAGCACTTTGGGAGGCTGAGGGGATGGAATTCTTGAGGTCAAGAGTTTGAGACTAGCCTGGCCAACGTGGCGCAACCCCATCTCTACTAAATATACAATTATTAGCCAGGCCTGGTGGTGGGTGCCTATAATCCCAGCAACTCAGGAGGCCATGGCAGGGGAATCACTTGTACCCTGGAGGCAGAGGTTGCAGTGAGCCGAGATGGTGCCACTGTACTCCAGCCTGGGCAACAGAGCAAGACTCTGTCTCAAAACCAAACCAAACCAAACCATAATCCCACCACTTTGCCTGCTAGAAATATTTTAGTATTAAGCAGGAAAAACAAAAAAAAAGAATCAAACAGGACCAGAACTCATGTTAAGAAAAAAAAACCAACCAACCAACCTTATATGTACTTGGAGGCCATGATGAAGGAGTGGTACATTGGAAAAGACAAGAGGCTTAGACCCTACAGACCTGTGTTCAGTTAAGAGTCCTATAACATGCTTGGATATGTCATATAAAGTTTCTGGATTTCCATTTCCTGATATTTCAGACATATCTAAAGAAAGATCTCTAACCTTTGGGATGGCTCTACTTGCATGTCTGTAAACCTTAAGTGGTAAGTAATTTGTGGGGAAGGGCTTGTGGTTAGAGTGCTTCCACCCCTGTTATAGGACTGTGACACTCTAATATTAGGCAGGAAGAAGGGGACATGAGACGGTTCGATCTGCTGGGTCAGCCTCTGAGAGCTAGAATGTTGGACTCATCATTTAGGGAGCCTTTGCCAATTTTCCCTCTATGTGCAAATGACCAGTGGCTTATTCTATGACATTTTTGCCCTTCTTACAATACTGCAAATGTCTGCAGGGTGAGCCAACTGTTAGAAATAGCCACTAACCAAACCTGAGACTGGATGGAGTGGTGATGCTGGAAAGAGACCTTTGATGGGGAAAGCATAGGTACACTGGAAGGAAGTGTGACTTTCAATCCTTATGCATAACCAGAGCTTCAGCTTTGCTACCAACTATGCAGGAAACCATGAAAATATTCATATGTGTAACCTATTTCTATAGCATTACATGAAATTGTTCTTAACTTCGAGACAGAACACATTTGCCTCTATATTTCTTTTTAAGCAACAGTTCCAAATCAATAGGTCTTTCATTGCATCATTTAAACATAACGAGTAGGTCTTAGGAGTCATATGGCATCTTGTTTCTGTAGATGGACAACTCTTAGATCTTATTCATCACCCTGCTGAACAGTTCCTTTTTCAGAGACATAGATACCATCCAAAAATTTCCTCATATCTTTGTTTTTAACTGTTGTGGATTGCTGAATCAAAGAAGCTGAATTTGAAACAAACTCAATGTCATTTCCTTCAAGGATTAATTCATCTTTCTGGGGCTGAGATACAGAACAAGCAACACCTGGTCTCATCCAAACCCTGTGGATGTATTTTTTAATCCAAGAAATTTCAGATTTCAACAAGAGACCCATTCTCCTGGATAACGACATTGATGGGGAAGTGGCATGCACAGACCTTATCTTGTAAGGGAAGCCCAGTGTAACACCCTTGATCATGTTCTGTACATGACAACAGATAGTCCAAACGGTAGCCAGCTCCTTTGCTATTCTGCCATTTGTCAATCCAGAGCCTCTTTTTTTCCATTTCCAAGAAGACTAAGTTCTATATTGATGTGATTGAAGTCCCTCTGCAGGTTTCCTCTGGGGCCCTTCACGATAACTGTGTGTCCCTTCAGAGTAATGTCCACATTTTCTGGAATATTGACAGTCTGATTGCTGAGAATGGTCTTCATTCTCACAGTAGATGCGGTAAAGAAAAGCTGCCTCTATATTTCTTAGTGCTTAATTTATACTCTTTTAAAAGAACAGCCTTCTTACTAGTAAAGAAAAATGCAAGTATCAAAAATTCAGAACTTGGATCTCACTAGTTGACTGGGAGGCAAGTGCCCATGATGTTTTCTCTTTATTCCTACGATCTGCATGCTCGAACACAAGACTGCACAGTGTAACCTGAAAATATGTACTCCCAACCAGTAGGTTTGATACATACTTTCAAGATAATACTTTTTTTTTCTTTCCTTCCTCTTTCTTTCCTTCCATTCTTTTTTCCTTGGAGTACATTAAAATAAGAATGAGTTGCTATTAGTTTTTGAAGTTACAAAAAAAAATCCCTAAAATATTCCTAAGAGACAACAATGTCCCACTGTAGTATATAATTTAGGTGTGGAGGCATCCAGGTACTAATCAATAGCTTGCCAACCTAAGGATTCTAAAAAGGCTGACAGAATGACAACTGCTAGTTGAAATATTTACAGCTTATTTTAGCACAGGTATGTGTAACATAATGTCAGAATCAGAAAACAGACCACTTTGCCTGAACAGAAAAATGATTCATAAAGAGAAAAATCTCACATGTAAATTATAACATCAATATTCAACATATTTTCTTTTCAATGAATTTTTTTCCAGGCTATTTGGATTAGGTTTTGAAACTCAGTTGGCCAGATGACATTTAGAATAGTGTCTATTCATCGCCTAAAGAAACACCAAGTAGGACTAGGTGGACTCTAAAGGAAAAAAAATGATAGAAACAAAATATGGCAATTTTTTTTGTTTGCTGGTGAAGTTTGCCAATTGAATAATGTGAGTTGGGCATGGTGGGTCAGGGAAATAGGGATATTGCTTCTGGGAGTTTTCAAGCTGTTGTCTTCAGGGTTCTTCAGTACCTTTATGCCTTCTTTCCTTATGACTTCCCTAAGTCCATGATTAAGACCCAAGGCCTTTCTATCAGCTTCTTGCGCACATCAAGGCTAAAAGCAGACATACCTATGGGAGCAGGCAGGTGACAGTACAGATGAATGAGGCAGAGGGTGGTGACCTAGGGGGTCCAGGGTTTTTCCCTCCAGCTGATAAATGCCAGGAGGAAACAGAGCCAAAATTATAAGGTGTCAAAGATATTGATTTTGCATAAGAATCTGGGTTAATTTTAGTGAAGTTGCTTGGTTTTTAAAGGCTGGCTTATTGAAAAAACACTCTGGGCTCACTGAAATGCTTTTGTCTGGGTTACGTCTCATTGGCAGGCACCAACTTGACTGTGGTTCCTGCTGCAGTGCTGCTGATGGCCCAGTTCGGTGGCATGTTCCAGGATGGAGTTCCTGGTGCCAGCCTGGAATCCATGCCCCCTGCCTTTCCACAGACTTTGCAGGCACCCAATTCCTTAGATTAAATCCCTTTCTGGTTAAGATGAAGTGGTTTCTTGTTCTTGCAACTGAACTTTGATTGACAGTGAAATATAAGATACCAAATTGCAATTTGGAGATACAGTGCCAAAGAAGATTAAAACAATGCACTTGTTTTCAATACATATTTCAAAGAAAGGAAAAAATATCATAGATAACTGTTTTTTATTTCCCCCCTCCAAATCTGTTTGCTAGCCAGTATCAGCATAAATAAAAGTACTGAGAATGACAACACAGCTCTGGGAGCATGCAGAGGTGGAGCATGCAGAGGTAGCTTCCAGGATGGCCAGGGATGATTGAGAGTCAGGATGAGGCTGTGCCAGATCCCAGGAAAACCTTATGAATACCCAAGAGTTGAATACCTCTGGTCAAGAGAGTCGATACTTAACTACAACCACCACCACCATCACCACCACTACTGCTACCAAAACACAACACGAAATAAAACCCTTTTATATTTGGCTGAAAATCTCAGTAAATGATTTAAGAGCACATCCAATCATATACCCCAATAATTACCACAACAGCAAACTGTAAGAAATCATCATGGCCTCATATGAGAATTGTTTTGACCTTGCTAAGAACTTCCTGCAACTTTCCAGCTATGTTCTGAGTTGCTATTTATATTTGAGAGCAAAAGAACTTTATATAGACCCATGTGTTCAGCTGCACCAAACAGACGGGAAAGACTGTTGCTTGACTAATTTCCATACCAAATTTAAACATTCGACAGTAAGTATGACACATTAATTTAAGTCATTTTAAATTTCTCCAATCCAAGGAAACTGACCAAATCAACTAACTCTGTATAGTTTAGATGAGTTAAATAATTTTTAATAGAGCCTTATTTGTTGGCTCCTAGAGTAGAACAATGCAAACTTTGGCCCAGCTAAGATTTGTGGCTTGCCCCGCTACCCACTTGTTCTATTTTTCTGTACCTAGACTAGCCGCCTAACCTGCTGCCTACCTAATCTTGTATTAGCTGAGAGAGGAAGAAATAGCAACAAAAAAGAATTACTACAGCAGGTCCAACTAGCAAAGTTTAACTTGCCAAAACACTAAGCTAGACTTCATGGATATTCATATATTAAAAATAAATCTACCATATTCACTCTTCTTCCTGGAAAGCAACTCAGCTGCTAGCCTGAAGATGGAAAATGACTTAAAGCCTAAGAAATTCTTCACTTGCATAAATCTGATTTTGATTCTTGAGAGCTAGGTTTCAGTAAGAACTGGCCTAACATTTAACAGATAATTGTTATTTTACTTACGTTTTTAAAAATTTGTTTCTACTTTCATAACATTTTATAGAATGCATAAAACGGTGCATACAAAGTTGCTAGAGTATATAATTTCCAAAAATGTCCTGGGTTTCTGTTACATTCAGTTTTCTAAAGATGCACTCAAATCAATGGTAAAATACAGACAATTATATGATATTTCATTATTTTTGGTAAAACTATTCTCACTATTGTGTCTTCTCACAATATTAACTGTGATATCCACTTTGTGCAGGATCTAATAGACAATTATTGAGCCCATATCTATTAGTCCCTCTCTTGGAATTAAAGTTAGTTATAAACTACATATATAACAATAGACAATAAAATAGTGTATCCCATAGACAACGTGATCTCTTTGTAAAGATGTCATTTTCTAACACTAGAACCAATGTTCAAGAATATTATGTTTATAAAGGAAAAATACCAAATAAAAAATTACCTTTTCACTTAAGAAATGTCAATAATCCACCCTAATACTTAAAGTCACATTAAATGTTTTAGAGTCACTGTATTTGCTGCCTATGGCTGCTGTAACCAGTTACAAGCACAGTGGCTTAAAACAATACAAATTTATTATCTTACACCTCTGGAGGGGAGAAGTCCTAAAATTCAAGCTGTGGGTAGGTTGTGTTTCTTTGTGGGGGCTTTAGGGGAGAATCTGTTTTCTTGCCCTTTCAGCTTTAGAGGCTTCCTGCATTCCTTTGCTCATGGTCCCCTCCTCCATCTTCAAAGTCAACAACACAGCATCTTCAACTCCTTCTCTCTCTGACTTCTGCTTCTTTTTTAAAAAATTTTAATGTGATTTATTTATGTTTTAATTTTTGTGGGTAAACAGTAGATGTATATATTTATAGGTTACACAAGATATTTTGACACAGGCATGTAATGAATAATAATCACATCAGGGCAAATGGGGTATCCTGACCTTTGCTTCTGATGCTGCGTCTCCTCTTCTGACTCTGACCCTTCTTCTGTCTTCCCCTTATAAGAACTCTGTGATTATATTGGGCCTATCTGGATAATTCAGGATACTCATCCCATTTCAGGATCTTTAATTTAATCCCATTTGCAACGTCCCTTTTGCCATATAAGGTAACATATTCACAGGTTCCAGGAATTAGGATGTGGACAACTTGGGGCAGGGGGGCATTATTCTGTTTACCATAGTCACTAAGATCACACAAACCAAAGGAGAATATTATAATATCTTTGCACTACCTGTGTACTATTAACTAAGGATGCTTGCTTTAAAGAAACACATTCCTAAAAAATCTACTAAAATAAAAATGATGAAAGATTTGTCTTCTACCATCGAGCCAAGCATATAATTTCTACATGACATAATGAACAACTGTAAAGAAAAATCATGAGGGTTTTTCCTCCAATGTTCTTTTGCCATAGTTAAAATCAAACATGTTTTCTCTCCAACTTACGAGGCAGATGACAGGCACATCCTGGTTGCTAGAGACAACGTGTTCTCATTTAGAGATACTGTTTCAGGCCTGATGTTGACATGGTAACAGGTGGATGGGTTATTTGACCGCACTAAGTATTACCTGTTTGAATAGAGCGTAGGCCTGTCGTGTGGATAGTGCTCATTGACATATAAGGAAGAAGATGAAATTGTGGTCGCCAAGGAAGCAGCTTCAAACAGTGATGGAGTGCTAGGCACCAGGTCTGGTCTGTGTCGGGATCCTAAGGCTGGGAATGAAAGCAACACGCACATTCATGAATCTCAAGAATAAATGCAGCTTTAGTATCTATAATAATCTAAATGAGTCAAAAGCATTCATTTTACCTATCAGGCTGCAAATTAAATTATGAATTAACTGTACTCTTTTTGGAATTACAGCAGAAAAACAAAATAGCTTCTTGCAAACAGGTTATGCAGAAAGGAAATTGCATTAATTTACAAAATGGGTTATGGAAATGATATTATGAATGTTCTTTCAAAAACCTTATAAAATGATTTACTATTTCAAAAAGATGGCATTAAAAAACTCATAGGAATTTAAGCAGATAATCTGACGAGATTAAAAGGATAACTGGCAAGTGTATAAACAGACAGTGAACCTTTTTGCCCTATCTCTGTTTCTCAGGTTGGATCTAAGAACCCAGACTTTTCAAGAGCCAGAAAACAAATACTTCAACAGACTAACAGCCAGCTCTGCCTTAACCCCATCTGAGCATGTAAATACTTCTAAACATTATCCAGGACTCTTTTTGACACTTTAGCAGCAAAACTACCTTTTCAAAAAATGAGAAAACCCTTATATATTTTTTTTAATTTAGGGGCCCATGAAATTACTTATGCAAGAGCCCATTCTTGTGAGGAAAGAGGAATGTTCAAGGCTGAGCCCATCTCTCTGGAGTCTAGGTAGATGGACTCTTTTCATCTTACCCCCAGACTGACCTAAAACAGATGCTAATACATTGTAACTTTAAGGTATTCCTGGTATTTCTTTATAGGCCCAACAAATTCAACATTAAGGATTCTTAGTGTGTAAATGTAAACCGACCATAATAGGCATTCTCGTGTGAGTGTGAGGTTCTGGATTTTGGGTTTAAAGGGTATAGGTGGTGGGGCAGGGAATGGCAGGGAGGGAAGCCAGGCACCTCAGGAAAGGCTGGACTCTGGTCTGGGAAATGAGGCGACATATTGGGATGCTCTGTCTCCAATTCAAGTCAAAACAGAACACTGCGGCAATGGATAACAGATGCTTGTCATAAAAAACCATGCATGACCAAAGTGCTCCACCTTCAAAAATTAGAAAGGCTTCAACTTTAATGTGACACCTGGCTTGCAATCTTCAATATGCTTGATCCCAACGTCTCATTAAATAGCAAGAAAAACATGAATACTGTCCATAACATTGAAAACTGAGCGTCAAAAGTAATTTGATATCAGATTCCAATGAATTGCCACTCCTTATAAGGTAGATGGAGCTGGTCTTTGACCTAGGTTTTGGGCATACCAGCTTGACTTCACAAAGCAGACATGACCTGAGTGACAGAGCAAAACACATTTGTCTAGTGACTCAGTTCCAGGTCACACATCATCAGGAAGGTGACCCCTCAACCCATGAGGAGCAGCTCTTTGAGGGAGAGAAGGGTTTCCTCATGCTCCCAAATCCTTCAGTTTTTTTCTAAAGCCAGTGTGGTAGGCAGAACTCTAAGATGACCCCTAATGACCCATATTCTTGTAAATTCTTTCTTCATTGTGGGGCCTGCAAACATGATGAACTGTTATTCCTGTAGCTATGTGATGTGACCCTGCAAAAGGGATTTTGCAGATGTAACTCAGGTTACTCTGAGTTGGCTACCACTGAGCTGGTCAAAGGGGAGATTTCCCAGGGGAGCCTCACCTAATTGTACAAGCCCTTTAAATCTGGGTCTAGAGGTCAGAGACCAGAAGTTAGAGAGTCAAAGTGTTGGGGTTGACTTGCAGGACATTCTGTGTTTGAATACAGAGGGGCTGCATGGTAGAGAATGTAGATGGCCCTCAGGGCTAAGCATGGTTCTTGGCTGTCAGACAGCAAAGAAGCAGAGATCTCAGTCCAACAGCTACAAGGAGCTGAATTCTGTCGACAACATTAATGAACCTGGAAGAGGATTCATCTTCAGTGCTTTAAGAACTCAGCCCAGCTGACATCTTCATTTCAGCTTTTGAGACCCTGAGCAGAGAATCTGTGTGAAGTGTAACCAGTCTTCTGACATACAGAACCATCGGCTACTAACTGGGTATTATTTTAAGCTGCTAAGTTTGTGATAATTTGTTACATGGCAATAGAAAATATAACCTTAGCATACTGAGAATGCCAAAAAACAAACCGTTAAAAACTAGAAGGAAATTCGGTGATGACTGGTGCAAGCGGAAGTTCCCCAAGTACAGAGCGTGATTTAGAGACTCAACATTGTGCATGAAGAGGACTGCCAAGATAAACTCATTTTATAATAGTATGTTACATTTTCTTTTTTTTTTTTTTGAGACGGAGTTTTGCTCTTGTTACCCAGGCTGGAGTGCAATGGCGCAATCTCGGCTCACCGCAACGTCCGCCTCCTGGGTTCAGGCAATTCTCCTGCCTCAGCCTCCTGAGTAGCTGGGATTACAGGCACACGCCACCATGCCCAGCTAATTTTTTGTATTTTTAGTAGAGACGGGGTGTCACCATGTTGACCAGGATGGTCTTGATCTCTTGACCTCGTGATCCACCCGCCTCGGCCTCCCAAAGTGCTGGGATTACAGGCTTGAGCCACCGCGCCTGGCCTAGTATGTTACATTTTCAAAGAATATGCTCAATAGGCTTTTCTTTGACCTCCAGAGACTTTTAAAGGTGTTGTATCTCTAAATTTGAAGCAATGAGTCAAATAGGTCTTTTGAAAGAAACACAGTGTGTGCACTACTTACCATGTTTCCAGCCTTTTTAGATGCTGTGTGGTATATTTATTATACTTTTAATTTATTTTTCCAAATTAACAATTGAATCCATTGCTTTAACTTTAGAGGTCAGATACTACTTGAAAGCTTATCTAATATAATCTTAAAATAAGTTTATCCTATTTCCCCGACTACAGACACCTGCGGTTTTGTGTGTGCTATCAGAAAATCAGGTAGCAGAGTGGGGGAGGTGCCAGTGCAGGAAGCTTAGGAGAAGCGGGTGAATGTCTGCCAGGAATTGGAGACATCAATTCAGAGAGGATCATTACTAACTTTGGATAAAAGTTAGTTTATAGAAAGATGAAAAAGAAAGAAACCAAGTAGCACATATGGATAAGTGCTGCTGAAGAAGGAATAGAAATAACACCCCAACCTAAAGACTGAGGAAAAGAAAGCCCCTAGAAGAGGTCTTAACTCCTGTAGAAAGCAGAAGACATTTTCAGGAAATGCTGAGATTCTCAAAATAATATACTGATTTCTAAAATGTCATTTCCCCATGTCTGATTAGAAGGGAAAAAACAAATGACCAACTTGGTAGACAGAAAAAAGTATTTGATAAAATTTAATACTCATTCTTGATTAAAAAAAAAAATTTTCAGCAAAGTAGGAATAAAAAAGGAACTTCCTTGACCTGATTACGGGTATCAAATATAGCAAACTTCTTTTTCAACACTGAAACATTAGATGCATTCCCTTTAAAATCAGGACAAGGCAGGTCTGTCTACAACCACCACTTCTATTCATCATCGTACCAGAAATCCTAGCCAGCAAGTAAGAAAGAAAGAAAGACAAAATAGATGTGAAGTCTATGTTGTAGCAACAAATAGCTAGAAAATCCAATTCTTAAAAAAGGTACTATTTTAAAAAATCCAGAAAAATAGTCTATGTCAATATCTTTGCATCTATCCAAGAAATAAGTCTAACGAAAGGTATATGTGCAAGCCACACCAGAAAAATATTAGAAAACTTTATTTAAATTCATTAAAGTGCTCGCTTTGGCAGCACATATACTAAAATTGGAACAATACAGAGAAGATTAGCATGGACCCTGTGCAAGGATGACATGCAAATTTGTGAAACTTTCCATATCTTTCCTTGCTTTTTCCTTCCTGCCTCTTTTCTTTCCTTCTCTTGGTACCTGCTTATGGTTATGAAAGTTTCAAAGTAAAGAACATGAATTACCTCCCGAGTATTACCAGTGGGTACGAAAAAAAAAAATTCATTAAAGAAGACCTAAATGAAGAGACAACTTACTGTCACATTGCGTGTATGTGTGTGTGTGTTTATGGATGCATGCGTGTATGTGTACATGCACAGAATAAGGTCTAGAGGTAAAAGCAACAAAATGTTAATATTTGTTACCATTAAATGGTGGAAGTAGACATTTTTCTTTTTGAGTTAATATTGTCTAATTTTTATCATAAACCATAAATTGTATTTTTTATGTGGTAGTTAAAATTTTCATGAAGTGTATCGCACTGTAGCTTACTTGCTTGCTTGCTTGCATATTTATTTATTTATTTATTTAAGATAGAGTCTTGGTCTGTTGCCCAGGCTGGAGTGCAGTGGCGCAATCGCAGCTCACTGCAACCTCTACCTCCCAGGTTCAAGTGATTCTCATGCCTCAGCCTCCCGAGTAGTGGGATTACAGGCACCTGCTACTACCCCTGGCTAATTTTTTTGTATTTTTAGTACAGACAGGGTTTTGCCATGCTGGCCAGGCTCGTTTCAAATGCCTGGTCTCAAATGATCTGCCCACCTTGGCCTCCCAAAGAGTTGGGCTGGATACTGCAAGCTATCCTTTAAAAACTTAATAGATTTTATTTCTTAGAGCAGGTATTTTTATATTTTTCTTCTGCAAATTTACTTGTATAAATAAATCATAAGAACTTTTTTCTCTTTTAAAAAGTTACATATCCTTACCTTCTTCATCAAGGCTGCTAAAACTTTGTCCTTCAGTCAGCAAATCTCGCTTCTCATCCTTCCATTCCTGGCTAATTGAGGACACAATCTCCTGTGACGTCGCCTTTAAGGCGGCGATGGAATTGCATCGTTTCTTAGAAGGTGAGGCCTTCAAAGCTAGACAGAAAGGAAAAGGACAAATAAAAGATATTTATTGTAAAATCACGTTAATATTTTATTTAAATATTCTATTATTTATTAACATTTTAGTCATTATTTGAGTAGAAGACAAGAGGCTTAATTTATATATATGGCAAGGGAGGTGAAATTGTCTGTTTCATCTGATGAATACAATGAATGAGCTATATTATTTGTCCAAAATGGCTTGACTTAAATCAGAATAACCTAGAGCAAATTAAGAGTTAAAATTTCTGTCCAGATTTTGAAATAAAGTTTTGCTTGAGGTAAAATTCAAATGTTTTACTGCCAAAGAATCATTTTCCCCCCTCTAAACAATGTTTTTCTAGTGCTGGGAGGAGGATGGGTGGGTTGATAAGTGCAGATGGTAAAGTACGGAGAATTCTCACGACCCTGGTTTTATTAACTTGGGAATGGGAATTTCTAAACATGCCAAAGTTTAATCTTATGCTCATGTTGCCCAATTTAGCCAAGTTACTTCTGGTTGCTTTTTTCTTTCTGCGAATTTCCACTGAAATTTCCTACCCTTTAGGTCTTTTCTAAGTCATAGTTTTATGTCAGATATATAATTCACTCCCAATCTTTGTCTAAACAGCAGTCTACAACTTCAGAAGTGTGTTGGGAACCTGAACTAATGAAAATGTACTTCACCATTAATCAGGCTTGCCGAAGCCTGGGACTTCACGGAGGACATGTCCATAGAAGCTGCTTAAGCAGCAGCCGGGCCATCCTTATTTACATTCACTCTTTGCTGCAATAATTCTTCTTGGCTTAATATTGCTAGAGAATTGCATTGGAGGGAGGGGGAGAGGGAAGTTGAGGCCAGTTTATGCTTTCCCTTGATGTGTTTTTGGCAGTGTCTCTCTTCCTTTAAAAGTTTGCATAAAGGGGTAACCTGATAGTAAATGTATTAGAGTAATTGTGTTTAGCCTTGGGAATCTCAGAGCGTAGATTACAGCTCATCTAGGGCCTTCCCAGAGGCAGCTTGCAAGAACTTAATTGGAGAAGGACTTTAGGAGACATAAATGAGGGAAGAATGGAGGGCAAGCTATCCACGTAAAGAGAAGGGAAGGTTTATTTGTCCCTGGAGCAGTCTTAGAGTCATAATAATATCATCATCCTAATAACATTTGTGGAGGGCTTTAGAGTCTGGAAGCCAACATTCACTTTGCATATCTCAAATTAGCCACGTGTATGAGGAAGAGGAAAGCCCTTTTTAAGGTCCAAAAACTGAGAATAGAAAGGTTGTGGCTTGCCCAAGGTCACAGAACTAGAAAGCATGAACCTCAGGTGTTTTTCTTCTTAAGTTGTTTACTTGGTGGTTCATTTTCTAGCTCTTTAGCATTCTATTTTCTGGTTAAACTGAGAGGAAAAAAAAGATAAACCTTGAATTTGTTTTTCTTTGAGGGGAGGAAATTTTTGAATGTTTAAAAAATAAGCCATGTGTACCTTAATTCTCTACTCTCTCAAACAGTGGTTACATTTGTTTTACAAGGATGAAGTCACTATTCACACACTGGCCTCTGCCTTAACATTCTATCTGCTAACATTTATTTCTTTATTTGTTTATTTATTTTTTAAATTTTACTTTAAGTTCGGGGATACATGTGCAGGTTTGTTACATTGGTATACATGTGCCATGGTGGTTTGCTGCACCTATCAACCTATCATCTCTATCTGCTAACTTTTATAGACCTTTAATAAACTCCTGTCTTTCAGTATAGTATTTTAAAACTTCTAAATCAGAGTATCTCGGATGTGGGTTGGAAACCACTAGGTATCTGAGACCCTTTCAGAAGAGCTGTGATGTTAAAATTATTTTCATCATCATCATCATAAGACATTATTTGCCTTTTTCACTTTCATTCTCTCACATGTGTAGAGTTTTCCAGATGTTACATGACCTGTGATACCACCACAGATTGAATTCAGAAGCAGATGTGAGACTCCAACTTATCTTCTGTTAAGCCAGACATTAAGGATTTCAGAAAAAAAAATGTAAAACAATGCCATTGCTCTCACTAAATTATTTGTGGAAAATAAAATTTTTTTTGGTAATTATTTATGTTAAAATAGACTGATGTTAACATTCAATTTTTTTGTTACCTGGTAAGAATTAATAAATATTGTAAATTTTTCTCAATTTTAATTTCTAATATGTGAAATATAGATAGCTATCACTCACATAAATGAAAGCTCTTTGGTGTCCTCAATAATTTTTAAGAATGTAATGTGGCTCTGAGACCCAAAGGTTTGAGAACTGCTTTTCTACATTACAGTTCTTAGGTTAATGTTATTTCTCTAAACCAAGAAACAGCTATGATCAAAAGGTTTTCGGCAGCAACAAGGAAATGCAATAAGGATAAGAGTCTTGTAATGAGGGGAAGACACTCAGGAGAGCTATGCTCATGGCATTTTGTGGAGTGAGGGCCAAAGGCCTGGAAAAAGAAGGAACTCTTTGTTTTTTATCAGCATCACACATAATGAGGAGCAGAGAAGACCGGAAAACAAACCTCTGCCAAGACCACATAGCACCACAACAAAGAGTTCACTTTTGTCTCAAGTGGTGAGTTTCTTCCTTAAAGGAATGATCTCACTCAGCAGATAAGGACTTGGACTTTGCAGCAATTCATTTCTCAGGATCTCAGGATCTCTTTTCACTAGGTAACCTTGAAAGCTGATTTGGGTGGTTGCTTGCTTCTTTTTGTGTGGCAGAAATGCCTGGATTTGTCTTGGGCTCCACCATGGCTGACCATAGGTATCCTGTGCCCATTTCCAGCCTTGCATTCTGCCACTCAACTGCCTCTATGTTCACTTTTCAGCTCACCCTTCTGCCATACTGGAACCTATCATGTTCATTCTGCCATTAGGCCTTTGTACATGCTATTCTTTCCCCTGGAGATGCCCTTCCTGTCTCTCTTCTTAATGAACTCTGGGTTACGTTTTCAGGATTTAGTTGAAACGTATTTTTCTCTGTGAGCTCTCTTGTGGAAGAACTGGTCTTTTTTTCTCTTATTTCTCTCCATGTACCCATAGTAGCATATGCAGTAATATTAGCAATTGTTTCATTATAGATCTGTCATTTGTTTCAATCCCTGACTCAAAACAGACTATTAAATTATTGAGGGAGGAACTAATCAATATTTAAAAAGCTTTCTATGTCATCAGTGTTTAGTGCTAGATACATAATAGGTGCACCAATGTTTGTTGAATAAATGCATTATTCTGAAATTTAGAACAGCCAATTTTCTTTAATAAATAAATTAATTTAACTCATATTCTATTCAGGAAGCTAAGCTTTAGTACTTTAGATAAATTATTTGTATGGAGAATTTCAGTGAAATTTCAACATAATGGTGATTAATATTTCCAGGAAATATTATAGGATTTTGTAGACATTATTACACTGGCAGCATGACTCACTTGTGGATGGGATGAAGGGATTTTAAAAGGTTAGAAAATATTGACTTCAAAAAAAAAAACTTGAAGACCAGGTACTATTTTCTTGGTGGGAGGAGAGTATGCCTTCACACATTAAGAGCTTTGAATTAACCACAGTTGATGAAACATCTTAAAGTTGTATTTTAAAGTGTCTACTTTTCTAATAATTTAATTACCCTTTAAAATGGCGGTATTAGATGAAAATTCCATTCATTCATTGGATTATTTATCAAATAACGGTTGAGCGCCTACTGCGTGCCAGGAAATGTGCTAAGTGAAAATTAAGGACTTTGTACACTAAGAAATCCATGGACGTTTATTTCCTTTAACATTATTATTATTATTATTATTATTAGCATGGAAGGGTTTTTAACAGAAATTGGCAAAAGCAGATTTCTATTTTAAACTGATTTCTCTGGATGCAGTGTGTGTGGGGAAACTGGATTGAAAGGGTACACAACAGGAGGCAAAGAGACCTGTTTAGGGCCACAACTTTATGTAAAATAATAATAATAATAATAAAACCTGTACACCAGGCCAGGTGTGGTGGCTCAGGCCTGTAATCCCAGCACTTTGGGAGGCCGAGGCAGTCAGATCACCTGAGGTCAGGAGTTTGAGACCAGCCTGACCAACATGGAGAAACCCCCTCTCTATGTGGTGGTGCATGCATATAATCCCAGCTACTCAGGAGGCTGAGGCAGGAGAATTGCTTGAACCTGGGAGGGGGAGGTTGCGGTGAACCGAGATTGTGCTGTTGCAGTCCAGCCTGGGCAACAAGAGTAAAACTCCATCTCAAAACAAAACAAAAACTCTGCAAACCAAAAAACACAGTGGCTGAATCAGGAGAGGTGCTGTGGGAGAAGGTGATGCACTCCTGATTCTGCAGAGTGACGACTGATAGGTGTTGCTGAATGACTGCACGTGGGCAATAAGCAAAAGGAAGTGATTAAGGGATGATGCCAGAATTCTGGCTGGGTAACTGGGTGGATTGTGGTGGCCTTCTGTAAGACATGGACCCAGGTGAAGAGGCAGGCTCTGGGGTGGTAAGCAGCTAAATTCAATTTTGGGCATGCTGGGCTTGCAGAATCCAGTAGATGCTTAAGTTGGGAGAGTGGGTAGGCAAGGAGACTTGATAGAAGTGTGGGGAGTAAGTTGCAAGTACACAGATGGTAACTGAACCCTTGGGAGAATGAGGAATTACCTAGATAGTGTTGTATAAGAAGAGACCAAATCAGAGGCTGGACCCTGAGGAATACCCACAATAAGAGTAAGCAGGGAAGAAAAGCTTCCAAAGGATACCAAGGAGCAGATGAGAGGCTGGAAGGCAACCAGGGAAGTCCTGAGTTACAAAAGACAAGTGAAGAGAACATTTCATAGAGCACTGATGTCAGTGGTCTCACATGCTGGAGGGTTTGAAGAATACTGAAAGTGGCTGGGCATGGTGGCTCACCCCTGTAATCCCAGCACTTTGGGAGGCCAAGGTGGGCAGATCATTTGAGGTCAGGAGTTCGAGACCAGCCTGGCTAACATGATGAAAC